TCAGCAGGAAACAAAAACGCTACAACAACACTGTGCTGGAGCCTCAGCCTCCTGTCTATGACACACTTCCTTCACTCAGCATTTTATGTTCCTTCCATCAGTTAAAGACCCAGATGGGGTTTTGATCCGTTACAAGAAGATCCTGTCCACCTACCAGCGGGTGAGGAGCATGTCCAGAGCCTTCCAGATCCACGGAGTCGACCGAAACACCATGGCCTCCACCTCCCCCATCGCCGAGCTGCTGCTGGTGGCTCCAGAGAAGGTGAGGACTCCTCTGATTTCCTGTTTTATTGAGCTGTTCTTTCAACTAAGTAATTTGAAGAAAAATAATAATAATTTGCAGTCTGTATTGATCTGTATTGTATCTGTGAATTTCCACTATTTCTTTTTTAAAGTCTACATTTTAAGGAACTCCAATGATTCACTCTACGTTTATCACACTTTCCAAGTAAAGCGCTTAGACTCAAGGGGATGTTTCCATTAAAGTTTCTAGTGTTGAAATAATTCTTTGCATGTAGGATTCTCTAAAAATAAGAAAACTTGATAGGAATAACCTCATAGAGCTTCTGTTTGCATATTATAAAACTGGAAATATTTTAGAATCCGTGAAAAGTCCAACATTTCCTGCAGGTGTCAGAAGTCGGAGAGTTTGAGGCGTCGAAGGAGAAGCTGTTGGATTACGCCCGGAGGTGCTACAAGACGATGGATGACGAGACGCATGCCAAAGTCCAGACCATGAAGAAGACTCACAAGCTGCTGCCCATCTCCTACAGGTTCAGAAACTGAGAGCGGAGCGAGGCGGGCAGCAGGACCAGCTGGTGGGAGCTTTCTGCACTTTGTTCTCATTTTTCTTAAAGTCAGAATATATAATAGGATGTGAGAAGATTAAATGCCAAATTACATGGCATATTCTGATGTATTTATTTATTTTCATTGAACTGCTTTATTTATGTTTTTTTTCTTGTTTTTGTTTGTTTTTCCTTGTGCAGCTATTACAGTTGAGAGTAGTTTTTTACTCCTCTGAACTATGACAGTGTTTCACACTGAAGACTGAAGGACTTGTTTTTTGGGTTGTTTTTTTTTGTTGTTTTTTTTTTTTTGCTCTACCTCAAAACTTAACTGAAGAATTAAAAAGAGAGAGCGCATATGTTGTTAATTATAATACCTCAGAGATGAGTTTTCTTTTCAGAAGGAACTGTCTGATGCATCAGTGCCTGCAGATATTTTATAGAGCAGGTATAAGAGACAGAAGTTTGAATAAATGTGCCTTGAATTTTTGTTATATAAGAAAGAAATATTTATCTTTATTTTTTGGCTTAGTGTTTGATTTTTCCTTTTGCACTGAAATGATGTACATGGATTTTTGATGTTTCATACAAAAGTTGTTTAAGTTAAATGTAAAAGTATTAACGGTGATGTGAATTTTTTTCTTTTTTCAATTCTGATAACATAAGATGTAAAATACAATACTGTACAGTAGATTAAATAACCTTAAATGTATGAATGTATTGTTTTCCTGACTCTGACTCATTTGATGTAATGAGGCTGACAAAGTGACAACGTGCTGAGCTCAGGGTTTACAAATAAAGTCATTAAGAGCTAAAGAAATCAAATTTGCTAAATGTTTTGCTAAAAAGATGTTATCTAAAAAAAAAAGAAAAATTAGACTTGCAGACTCTAGCGCCCTCCAGTGGAAGAATTTGGCGAATTAGTTCATTAATGAAGAGAAATTGTTATTAGGGATCAATGGGATCCAAAAAATTTAATATTGATCCGGGCTCAAAACATAAAAATCTTTTCCCAGTTTTTTTTTTCATACATCTAAATGTATATTATTACATATGGGTTTATTATAGGTCTATTTTATGCTCCACATCATTTGGGATTTGCTTGTAATTTTATTTTATTTTTTCACTAATCTAATGATGAAACTGACCTCACAGCCCATTGTTCACCAGTGGGCTAGTTTAATTTATAGTAGCTGTTTATGTTTTTAAACCCATTTTGCACAGAGAGGCATTTTTTTGAAAAATGTATTGATAGTAATTACTATCAATACATTTTCCAACATTAATATTCATTAATATTCAA